TCTCTAATAAACCCTCCTCTCTAATAACCCCTCCTCTCCAATAAACCCTCCTCTCTAATAAACCCTCCTCTCTAATAAACCCTCCTCTCTAATAAACCTCCCTCTCTAATAAACTTCCCTCTCTAATAAACCCCCCTCTCTAATAACCCCTCCTCTCTAATAAACTTCCCTCTCTAATAAACCCTCCTCTCTAATAAACCCTCCTCTCCAATAAACCCTCCTCTCCAATAAACCCTTCTCTCTAATAAACCCTCCTCTCTAATAAACCCTCCTCTCTAATAAACCTCCCTCTCTAATAAACCCCCTCTCTAATAAACTTCGCTCTCTAATAAACCCCCTCTCTAATAACCCCTCCTCTCTAATAAACTTCCCTCTCTAATAAACCCTTCTCTCTAATAAACTTCCCTCTCTAAGAACCCCTCCTCTCTAATAAACCCCTCTTTCTAATAAACCCTCCTCTCTAATAAACCTCCCTCTCTAATAAACCCTTCTCTCTAATAAACTTCCCTCTCTAATAAACCCTCCTCTCCAATAAACCTCCCTCTCTAATAGACCCCCCTCTCTAATAAACCTCCCTCTCTAATAAACCCCCCTCTCTAATAAACCCCCTCTCTAATAAACCCTCCTCTCTAATCAGACAGTTGTCCCTAAAAAGTTTTTGTCTCACTCCTATCAGCAAAAGCCCGAACGTGGAGGAGGTCAAACAAGGCCGAGAGGCAGAGGAAGGGCGCGGGGCAGAGGGCGGGGACGTGGTCAGCCTAATATTATCCAATCAAAATCAATCTTCTCAGAAGGACTGGTGCCCAAAACTGGTCAGTGAAAATGTTTTAATAAATCCCAATTAAATTTCCTGTTGACCCTTGAACAAAAACATCTCACCCTCCACCTTAATTCATTTTTCACAGGTGCCACTCAGAGCCGAGCCCCCAGTTATGGTGGGGGAGGTGGTGGGGGAGGAGGAGGGGGCTTTGATGGTGAAGGATCTAAAAGTGGTGGAATAAAGTAAGCATGGATGTATTGCTATTGAACATTTTTTTTGGTAAAGAACCAAACTGTCCATACCAAGGACCTCTGTCTGCCAGTATATAAGGTCAGTTCAATCCCTTGTTCTAGAGCTGAAAAGAATTTCGATGTTGAAGATCCAGATAAAATATTGAAAATGCTCGAGGCTGATGTAAGTTGTTCATATGTTTATAAATTGTGTTCACGGAAAGTTTGTGGTTTCAAATGAACTTTCAAAAACTTATATGTGATAGATTTATAAGGAAAAGTGGAAAACACAAAGAAAAATCATAAGCGTGTCGTATCTTTATATGTGATAGAGATTTCCCTTGATTTACATAAACTTTAACTTTAATTTTTTCGACTTACACAACGTATGTTTTGAAAACTACTTCGCCGATGAACTTACTACATTGATCGTTTTTTAATCAATTTAGAATATTCACCGTGCGTGTTTTATCAGACCTAAAGATACCCGGCTTCGCCTCGTAGCTTTATATCTGAAATTTTGATCTAAACAAGGAGAACGAAATCCATTATCATAGCTGGAAAGAGCATCCTAAAATGAGTAAACTTGCAAAGTTTGGTTGCAAATTGTTGTAAAATGAGGAGAATATAGCCCTGCGAAGTTCGCAAATTTGGTATATATTTGCATTACGCGCGGGAAAAATAACCATTTTTCAGCCGAAAGTGGTTATTTTTATACAAAATTTGCAAACTTCACAGGGCTATATTTTCTTCATTTTACAACATTTAGCAACCAATCTTTGCAGTTTTACTCATTCGAAGACGCTCTTTCTAGCTGTGGTGTTGGATTTCGTTCTTCTTGCCTTGATCAAAATGTAGTCTATAGCTGGAATTACCCATTATTATTTTGACCCAGGGGGAAATGGACATAGATGAAGACCAGCTGGAGTGTGGAGTACTCCCTATTCACATACCCCTGGCGTTTCATGATCGCTTTATTGAAGAAGTTCAAGATGGCGAGGAAATCACATCAGTTAAATGTAAGGACGAATTCTGCAGTATGCATTTGTTTTGAGTTTGAATCCTTAGACATCCAAATGATATCTTTATTTTTTAATGCAGCTGAACCAATGGATACAGACACAAAGAAACCTTTCATGAAGCCATCCACTATGGCGCCCAAGAAGGCACAGGAAGAACAACAGATGACTTGTGAACGTTTGCTCACTGGCGACGATACGGTACGAATTAAACTACCTAGAGGTCCAGTAAGGGTCATCTGTTATTGATCCAGTGTTACTACAGGAGGAAACCTAAAGTAAACTAACTTTATTTATACTGGATAGCTCTACCAGTTCTAAACTGTTCTTCCTAGAGGTCCAGTAAGGATCATCTCTTATTGATCCAGTGTTACTACAGGAGGAAACCTAAACTAAACTAACTTTATTTATACTGGATAGCTCTACCAGTTCTAAACTGTTCTCCCTAGAGGTCCAGTAAGGATCATCTCTCATTGATCCAGTGTTATTACAGGAGGAAACCTAAACTAAACTAACTTTATTTATACTGGATAACTCTATCAGTTCTAAACTGTTCTCCCTAGAGGTCCAGTAAGGATCATCTCTTATTGATCCAGTGTTACTACAGGAGGAAACCTAAACTAAACTAACTTTATTTATACTGGATAGCTCTACCAGTTCTAAACTGTTCTCCCTAGAGGTCCAGTAAGGATCATCTCTCATTGATCCAGTGTTATTACAGGAGGAAACCTAAACTAAACTAACTTTATTTATACTGGATAGCTCTATCAGTTCTAAACTGGTTCTTCCTAGAGGTCCAGTAAGAATCATCACTTATTGATCCAGTGTTACTACAGGAGGAAACCTAAACTAAACTAATTTTATTCATACTGAATAGCTTTATCAGTTCTAAACGGTTCTCGGTAGAGGTCAGGTAAAGGTGCATTAAAAATCCTCTCTATTTTTTCGCAGAAAAAGAAGGAACAAATGTTATTCTTCCAATTTCCTGACTCTCTTCCAACACAGAGAGTTGAAGATGAAGGAAGCGACTCAAAGGTGAAGACGTGTGTTTGCAGAATTGATCTAAGATACAACTAAACGAGTATCGTTTTAATAATCATTCTGAATGCTAAGATGAAACCATTGTCTTCGTTCTCTTTACAGTCGCGACGCAAATCGCTCAAGTTACAAGACATTTCTGAAGGTTACATTGGAAAAATTCAGGTCCACAAGTCAGGAAAAACTAAGTATGTTTCAGAATTGTGTCTAAACTACCGAGTTTTAGTCTTAACATATTGCTGAAAGTTCTATTTTGTGATTTTAAGATTAATTTTGGGAGGTGTTGCTTTGGATGTGTCGATGGGGACTCCTTGCAACTTTTTACAGGTATGTTTGAACTTCATGAAGATCAGTAAACGATGAATCTCTGGGGAGAACAGTTTAGAACTGATAGAGCTATCCAGTATAAATATAGTTAGTTTAGTGTAGGTTTCCTCCTGTAGTAACACTGGATCAATAAGAGATGAACCTTACTAGACCTCTAGGGAGAACAGTTTAGAACTGATAGAGCTATCCAGTATAAATATAGTTAGAGTTTAGTTTAGGTTTCCTGCTGTAGTAACACTGGATCAATAAGAGATGACCCTTACTAGACCTCTAGGAAGAACAGTTTAGAACTGGTAGAGCTATCCAGTATAAATAAAGTTAGTTTAGTTTAGGTTTCCTCCTGTAGTAACACTGGATCAATAAGAGATGACCCTTACTAGACCTCTAGGAAGAATAGTTTAGAACTGATAGAGTCATAGAGCTATCCAGTATAAATAAAGTTAGTTTAGTGTAGTTTTCCTCCTGTAGTCACACTGGATCAACAAGGAATGACTTATTGACGAGTTTTACAATTTTTTGTTTAAACATTTAACAGGATATTGTATCAATCCATCCTGAAGAAGAATCCAGATCAATGATGACATTATGTCACGTAAAACAACGTCTGGTATGCACGCCAGATTTTGAAGAATTACTTAAACATAATCTAGATATCACATAGACGTAATATATATAGCATTGAGCTTTGCACATATCTGTCTATTGAAGTTTAAAGTTTTGGGAAATCAGGGTCGTAGGGTGGGGAGCAATATTTTATAAAAGCCCCAAAATAATAACTGAGTTTTAAAAAAGTGTGCTTTTTCTCAAATTCGCATTCAGCCAATCATAAGACTTGATCAATGGCCTTCGCATTCCAGTTCTGGGGCCAGTTGTTCAAAGCTGGGTTAGGTTAACCCTAGGTTAACCTAAAATTCAGAGCAAACTTCCTGACAGCTTGTTTATAAATTTGGAAATACTTCATCGGAAATCTTGTCTGGATCAATAGGAGTTTATGTCTCTGACGTTTTGAAATAAACAGACGTGCAGAAATACACAAACTAAAACAGCAGGTTAAATTTTAACCCAGTGTTAGTGCTAACCCACCTTTGAACAACCGGCCCCTGAATGTAGAGTTGAATGTGTTCACACTTTGTTTTTATAAGTAATGTATGTGAACAAGCGTCTATTATACTTCCGAACTTCGTTTTGAATTGCGTCCAAACACTTGTGAAATGCGATGTTATCATCGGTGAACTTCAGATTTTCGGGACATTTGAAAGTTGTCAGGAACAGCTTGAAATTATATTGCTCCGAACTGGGCAGCTCGTCCAGGCCCTTTAAATCATTAAATAGAGGGGAAAATTAGATAAAGTTGACGAGTTTTGTGTCTGAACTATCTGAAAAAGATCTCAAACGTGGTGGTCCATTGTAGGTAGTATTCTACAATAAGCTGTTGCAGTTTGTGTCTGAACTATCTGAAAAAGATATCTCAAAACGTGGTGGTCCAGTGTAGGTAGGATTCTACAATAAGCTGTCGTGGTTGGTGTCTGAACTACCTGAAAAAGGTATCTCAAACGTGGTGGTCCAGTGTAGGTAGTATTCTATACAATAAGCTGTTGTGGTTGGTGTCTGAACTACCTGAAAAAGATATCTCAAACTTGGTGGTCCAGTGTAGGTAGTGTTCTACAATAAGCTGCTGAGGACGCGAGCGTTATAAACTAGTCAAAATACAAAATATTTAGTTACTACAAAATATTAGCCTGATAACTATCGTTTGACCATCGTATGCTGCACGATATTGCTTGCTGAAATAAACTGCATCCACCCAAGTATGTCCAAAGATGAACATAACATAAAAAGTAAATTCTATAAGACATAATAAAAAAACAACAACAAGTAAACCTCACCTTCCTTTGGACATTCAAATACCAGTTCACCACTGTGCTCGGGGTGATCTTAGCCAAGTCTGCTTTCATACTGTTCCCCTCAATTTGGTCAGGAAGGCTTTTCCAAATCGTTTTCATTGCCGCTAGGGTGCGTAATAGATTCTTTGACATTTTTGGCAGACATTGAGCAACCAGAAGCCCCTTCGTCTCGCATTCTCGCTTAAATTCTTTCACAGAATCTGCCCAATTTTCCAACATTGACACCCAAGCATCAATTTCGGTAATATGAGTCGAGTATCGTTGCATTTTCATTTGTCCAAATACATGTCGTACCGTGCCTGTTGTGTGGTAGACCTGCAGTTTTGTAAGACAAACTGTTATGATGTCAATGAAGTGGAATAGTATATTATTACAATTCATACCATCCCATACCATACTATGCCATACCATAACCATACCATAGCTTACAAACCATACTATTCTATGCCATATCATACCATACCATGCCTTACCATACTAATGATACTATACTATGCCATATCATGCCATACTACACCATACCATTACCATACTATGCCATACCACACAATATTATACCATACCATACTATACCATGCCATACCATATACATACCACGCCATACCATACCATATTATGCCATACCTTACTATGCCATACCACACCATACCATACTATACCATACCATACTATGCCATACCACAACATACCATACCATACTATGCCATACCTTACTATGCCACACCATACCATACTATGCCATACAACACCATACTATGCCATACCACACCATACCATACTATACCATACCATACCATACCTAATACTATGCCATACCACACCATACCATACTATACCATACCATACCATACCTTACTATGCCATACCATACTATACCATACCATACCTTACTATGCCATATCATACCTTACTATGCCATGCCATGCCATGCCATACTATACCATGCCATAGCACACCATACTTTACTATGCCATACCATATACCATACTACACCATTCCATACCATACTATGCCATACCACACCATACCATACTATACCATACCACACCATACCATACCTTACTATACCATACTATACCATACCATACCATACCATACTATACTATGCCATACCATGCCATACCATACTATGCCATACCTTACTATGCCATACTATACTATACCATACCATACTATGCCATACCAAACCATACTACACCATACCATACTATACCATACCATACTATACCATACCATACTATGCCATACCATACAATACTATGCCATACCATACTATGCCATACCATACTATGCCATACCATACTATACCATACTATATATGCCATACTATGCCACACCATACCGTACTATACCATACCATATTATACATTTACGATATAAATTACCTCAGCTCCAAATATAATTGCCATTGCATGTTCAACAATGGAGTTTGCAACCAAACCGGTTTTTCCGGTACTTTCGATAATTCCGTGAATCATACATCTGGCCATATCATGTTGGTATCTGAAACGAATGAGTAAGCGCTGGAATAGATATCCCATTAAACTGGAGGTCCAGTATGGGTCATTGATTGGTCTCTGATTGATCCAGTGTTATTACAGGAGGAAACCTAAACTAAACTAACTTTATTTATACTCGATAGCTCTATCAGTTCTAAACTGTTTTTCCTAGAGGTCCAGTATGGATCATCTCTGATTGATCCAGTATTACTACAGGAGGAAACCTAAACTAACTTTATTTGTAATGGATAGCTCTCTATCAGTTTTAAACTGTTCTTCCTAGAGGTCCAGTAAGGATCATTTTTTATTGATACAGTGTTACTACAGGACAAAACCTAAACTAAACTAACTTTATTTATACTGGATAACTCTATCAGTTCTGAACTGTTCTCCCTAGAGGTCCAGTAAGGATCATCTCTTATTAATCCAGTGTTACTACACGAGGAAAACTAAACTAAACTAACTTTATTTATACTGGATGCTCTATCAGTTCTAAACTGTTCTTCCCAGAGGTCCAGTAAGGATCATCTCTTATTGATCTAGTGTTACTACAGGAGGAAACCTAAACTAAACTAACTTATTTATACTGGATAGCTCTATCAGTTCTAAACTGTTCTTCCTAGAGGTCCAGTAAGGATCATCTCTTATTGATCTAGTGTTACTACAGGAGGAAACCTAAACTAAACTAACTTTATTTATACTGGATAGCTCTATCAGTTCTAAACTGTTCTTCCTAGAGGTCCAGTAAGGATCATCTCTTATTGATCCAGTGTTACTACAGGAGGAAACCTAAACTAAACTAACTTTATTTATACTGGATAGCTCTAGCAGTTCTAAACTGTTCTTCCTAGAGGTCCAGTAAGGATCATCTCTTATTGATCTAGTGTTACTACAGAAGGAAACCTAAACTAACTTTATTTATAATGGATAGCTTTATATCTACCTATAACTAATATCCGAACCGCTGGAACTGGTCACTCCTGCAACTTTCTCTTCGATAGTATTGAATAGTTTCACAATATCGTTGAAAATTTTATCCAAATTCCCCTTGGTCGGTCTTGTTTTCAACTCCGCCTGGTCCATCAATAAGTCGTTGTAATATTTGGGTAAATAGTTGTGCATCTTTCGAATGGCTGTGACAATCTCTTGTAGTTGAAAATGGACATTTTTTCTGAGGTTGAGTAGTCCTAAAATTGAAGAAGAAAATCCTCTGTTTTGCTTATTGGGAGTTTCAGTAAGCAGTAGATGGAACCTGGAGATTTAAACCCCGTACAGTAGAGTATGTTTTCTTTGACAAGTTTTATTTGCTCGTGTGTATGGCAAAATATTGACAAGTTTTCCTTGCCAATGAGCCTTGTTCGAAAGCTATAGTCTTGCCTGCTTTTGGACAAGGAAAATTTGTTCGTATGTCCTTGATAGCTTAATGAGACATGGCTAGGAAACAATGTTTCCTGGTTTGCCCACCTTCAGGAAACATGGCTAGGAAACAATAATGTTTCCTGGTTTGTCCACCTTCAGGAAACATGGCTAGGAAACAATGTTTCCTGGTTTGTCCACCTTCAGGAAACATGGCTAGGAAACAATGTTTCCTGGTTTGTCCACCTTCAGGAAACATGGCTAGGAAACAATGTTTCCTGGTTTGCCCACCTTCAGAAAACATGGCTAGGAAACAATGTTTCCTGGTTTGTCCACCTGCAGGAACCATGGCCAGGAAACAATGTTTCCTGGTTTGTCCACCTTCATGAAACAATGTTTCCTGGTTTGTCCACCTTCAGAAAACATGGCTAAGAAACAATGTTTCCTGGTCTGTCCACCTTAAGGAAACATGGCTAGGAAACAATGTTTCCTGGTCTGTTCACCTTTAGGAAACAATGTTTCCTGGTCTGTTCACCTTCAGGAAACAATGTTTCCTGGTTTGTCCACCTTCAGAAAACATGGCTAGGAAACAATGTTTCCTGATCTATCCACCTTCAGGAAACATGGCTAGGAAACAATGTTTCCTGATCTATCCAACTTCAGGAAACATGGCTAGGAAATAACGTTTCCTGGTCTGTCCACCTTCAGGAAACATGGCTAGGAAATAATGTTTCCTGGTTTGTCCACCTTCAGGAAAAATGGCTAGGAAATCCTGGAAACAATATTTCTTAGTTACCAGTGCAGCGTATATAATTGGATATGATAAATTAAAATTCAACCACATTGACTGACCATTAAGAGCAGCAGATTGTGAACTCGTCAGTCCTGTGATGGCGCCAGGAAGTGCGTACTCCAATGCAAACGCAAAAATATTTCCTCCAAAAATATCCTCGGACGATTTTCCAAATCCCGGGACAAATTTGTCGGCTCCGAGTGGCTCCAGGAAAAATTGATTAAATCGCGCAGCCAACGTACCTGATCTACAAAAACAAGAAATGAAACTGAGAAACGAATGAAAGAAATGAAAACTGAAAGAAATGAAAACAAGAAATGTTTTTTTCAAAAAACTAACTTTATAAATAAGTTTTGGGATCTTACTCGACCTCTAAGGCGAACATTTTAGAACTGATAAAACCATCCAGTATCAATAAAGTTAGTTTAGGTTTCCTCCTGTAGCAACACTGGATCAATAAGAGATAACTCATACTGGACCTCTAAGGAGAACAGTTTAGAACTGATAGAGTTATCCAGTATAAATAAAGTTAGTTTAGGTTTCCTCCTGTAGTAACACTGGATCAATAAGCTAGAGATGACCCTTACTGGACCTCTGGGGAGAACAGTTTGGAACTGATAGATCCATCCAGTTAAATAAAGTTAGTCGATTCACTGTGTCACCCACCTCTCTCCCATGAGCGCGATATCAAAGTCAGAGGTACAAGTGATTTTATGCAGAGGAACCACAAAGCATTCACCGCCAGTTGGGTTCTTGAGTCTTTTGTACACATAGTCGTATTTGCATGGACCAAAACTTCGATCGGGAAATAAAACATTAAGCACATAGACCACGTAGTGATACCTAAAGATTAGAATGACGTTTGGTTACTAGAAATACTCCATATGCATGTTGATTGTTGTGCTGATGTACTTGGTTTGTGTCAGAACTATCCGAAAAAGAAATCTCAAACGTGATAGTCGAGTTTATTAACGACAGCTTATTGTAGTATTCTCCAATAATTAGCTGTCGTGGTTTGTGTCTGAACTACCTGAAAAGATATCTCAAACGTGCTGGTCCAGTGTAGGTAGTATTCTATACAATAAGCTGTCGTGGTTTGTGTCTGAACTACCTGAAAAGATATCTCAAACGTGCTGGTCCAGTGTAGGTAGTATTCTATACAATAAGCTGTCGTAGTTAATGTCTGAACTATACTTGAAAAAGATATCTCAAACGTGCTGGTCCAGTGTAGGTAGTATTCTATACAATAAGCTGTCGTGGTTAGTGTCTGCATTATACTTGAAAAAGACATCTCAAACGTAGTGGTCCAGTTTAGGTAATATTCTACGATCTATAGTATATTGGCTTTCTGATAATGCTTTACTCAAGTAAATGCAGGCCGTTACTGAAAATGAAAATCACAGGTGTTTCCGAGTGATTATCGAAGAGAATTCGAGACTTGACATAAAGCAGATATGAGTCTTAGGCGCGCGTTCTATTCCGTTTCAAGCTCTGTAGAGAAGAACCAAGAATTTGCTCCACTCTACCAATTTCATATTTAAAATCTACGTTCTCCAGACTTTCTGCTGATACTCCCTTTATTCCACTCGAAAAAGCGCGGCTCTGGACTTGAAAATCTCAGGTTTTCCCAGTCTGTTACCGAAAATAACTTGAGATGTTATTAATTAACAAGATGCAGGTTTAAGTTGGGCGCCCTTTCTATTGCGTTTCAAGCTCTGTAGAGCAGAAAGGAGAATTTGCAGCTCTCTAACAATTTCATATTGAAAAGCTATAGTCTTTAGGCTTTCTGTTGATACTTTAATCAAGTATAAAGTAATAAAACAGCCCGGCTCTGGACATGAAAATCGCAGGTGTTTCCGAGTGTTATCGAAGAGAATTTGAGACTTGGCATAATGCAGATATGAGTCTTCTAGGCGCGCGTTCTATTCCGTTTCAAGCCCTAGAGAAGAACCAAGAATTTGTGCCACTCTATTATAGTGCCAACAATTTATATTCGAAACCTATAGTTTTATAGTTTACTGGATTTCTGTTAATGCTTTATTCAAGTATATGCAGCCGTTTTTGGACATACAAATCGCAGGTGTTTTCAAGTGTGTTATCGAAGAGAATTTGAGACTTGACATAATGCAGATGAATCTTAGGGGCGAGTTCTATTCCGTTTCAAGCCCTATAGAGAAGAACCAAGAATTTGTGCCACTCTAAACAATTCATATTCGAAATCTATAGTTTACTGGCCTTCTGTTAATGCTTTATTCAAATATATGCAGCCGCTTTTGGACATAAAAATCGTAGATGTTTCCAAGCGTGTTATCGAAGAGAATTTGAGACATAATGCAGATATGAGTCTTTTATAGGCGCGCGTTCTATTCCGTTTCAAGCCCTGTAGAGAAGAACCAAGAGTTTGTGCCACTCTATTATAGTGCCAACATTTATATTCGAAACCTGCAGACCATACTTTTATAATTTACTGGCTTTCTGTTAATGCGTTATTCAAGTATATGCAGGCCGTTTCTGGACATGAAAATCACACTTGTTTCTAAGTGTGTTATCGAAGAGAATTTGAGACTTGAGATGAGCAGCTACGAGTCTTATAGGCGCGCGTTCTGTGTCTGAACTACGGCTTAAAAACTAGATATCTCAATGGTTGTCCAGCGTAGATCGTAAGCGTGGTGGTCCAGTGTAGGTAGTATTTTTGCAGATATAAAGTATAAATAAAAATAAAGATAGTTTAAAGTTTTTTTCTACCTGGCAGCGATCACGTATAACAGTTTCTCACAAGATAGTCCATTGCGGCGTACCCTATCCAAAATTGCGGACCAATCATTATTTCGTATGAAAAACCGCTCGATTCTCTTTGCTGCGTCATTAAAATACGTAGTAAACTTGTCCTTGTATGATGGCAGCCCGATCCAAGCATCACTGGTGGGAGATTTCTTGTAGCAGTATACATCCGCGATACAGTTTTTGAAAAAATTAAGATCAGCCTTGTTGTTGTTTGAAGATACACTATAACAAAGAGAAGTAGTGTTCTACGAAAAATAACCCTTTGTATTGTGTATATTTATTTGCATTAGATAGCTCTGTCAGTTCTGAACTGTCCTCCCTAGACCCTAGAGATTCAGTAAGCCGGTAATGAAGGATCATCTCTTATTGATCCAGTGTTACTACAGGAGGAAACCTAAACTAAACTAACTTTATTTATACTGGATGGCTCTATCAGTTTTAAACTGTTCTCCCTAGAGGTCTAGTAAGGATCATCTCTTATTTATCCAGTGTTACTACAGGAGGAAACCCAAACTAAACTAACTTTATTTATACTTGATAGCTCTATCAGTTCTAAACTGTTCTCCCTAGAGGTCCAGTAAGGATCATCTCTTATTGATCCAGTGTTACTACAGGAGGAAACCTAAACTAAACTAACTTTATTTATACTGGATAACTCTATCAGTTCTAAACTGTTCTTCCTAGAAGTCTAGTCCTTAAGGATCATCTCTAGCTTATTGATTCATTGTTACTACAGGAGGAAACCTAAACTAACTTTATTTATACTGGATGGCTTTATCAGTTCTAAACTGTTCTTCCTATAGAGGTCCAGTAGGGATCATCTCTTATTGATTCATTGTTACCACAAGAGGAAACCTAAACTAAACTAAGTTCATTTATACTAAATAGCTCTATCAGTTTTAAACTGTTCTTACTAGAGGTCCAATAAAGATCATCTCTTATTGATCCAGTGTTACTACAAGAGGAAACCTAAACTAAACTAACTTCATTTATACTGGATGGCTCTATCAGTTCTAAACTCTTCTTCCTACGGTTTCATTAATTAAGCATCTTTTATATACCTCGTGCTTGGTAATTCAGGTGTATAGCGAGATCAGTTTTACCTTTTAGCCCGATGTGCACATTCTGGTTTCCATCCACAACCTCTGCTGTGCAATGTTCCGTCCTTATCAGCGGCAGGCGGTTTTTCTGCATTTGTCTGAATTTGATTAACTTCATTGCTTGGTGCAGTATTCATTGTAGTGACCTAAAGTGTAGATCAATAACAGATCATCCTGGATCTCTAAGAGGAACAGTTTAGAACTGATAAAGCTATCCAGTATAAATAAAGTTACTTTAGTTTAGGTTTCCTCCTGTAGTAACACTGGATCAATAAGAGATGATCCTTACTGGACCTCTAGGCAGAACAGTTTAGAACTGATAGAGCTATCCAGTCTAAATAAAGTTAGTTTGTAAAGTCAGATCAATAAGAGATGACTCTTACTTGATTTCTATAGGGAGAACAGTTTAAAACTGACTAGAGCTGCCCAGTATAAATTAAGTTAGTTTAGTTTTTCTGTGTTGGTGTAAAGTACTCAGGTGAATATGATGTTTGTGATGTTACTCTGAGTGTGTATCCACACTGGGCAAGCTTGAAAAATATGCCTGACCACGGTGGGAATCGAACCTACGACCAATACGGAAAAATCATGATTATTATCAGATAACATTGATATCGAAGGAACTAGATTCTGTTCCGAACTATCACATACTCGAACCGACCAGACCGCGTAGCTCAGTTGGCAGAGCATTGGTCTAGTATTCCTAAGGTCGTAGGTTCGATTCCCACTGTGGTCAGGCATATTTTTCAAGCTTGCCCGGTGTGGATATTCACTCAGAGTAACATCACAAGCATCATAAGTTTTAATAGTTTAGTTTAGGTTTCCTCCTGCAGTAACACTGGATCAATAAGAGATGATCCTTACTAGACCTCTAGGAAGACCAGTTTAGAACTGATAGAGCTATGCAGTATAAATAAAGTTAGTTTAAAACTAACCATATTTTCTTCTTGGTTGGCAAGTTTTACCTAGAAGTATATAAAGAAACCTGTCAGACTATGTTATTCACTCGGGTTAAATGCGGAAATCATAATCACTTGCAAGAGAATGTAATAGGTTTTTTACTTACGGTGTACACGAAGAGTAATACTGTTATCTCAAAACACTTTATTTTGGAGCACATATTTCTTAAAATAAAGTATATTCTGTTAGATCTTTCGAGTCTCGCAAAATTAGCCCCACACAGACGAGCAAATTGTCCTTGACAAATTTTATTTGCTAGTGTGTATGGCAAAAAATTGACAATTTTTCCTTGTCAAGAGCTTTATTCCAAAGCTAGTCTTGACAGCTTTTGGACAAGGAGAATTTCTTCGTGTGTACGGCTGCCAAGGAAAACTTGACAAGTGTCCGAGAAATACTTTTATGGTTCTGGCAAACAAAAGGTGACCTTGAACCGAGCAAACAAAACTTGTCAAGGAAAACTTGTTAACTGTACACACGAGAAAGTAAACTTGTCAAGGAAAACTTGTTAACTGTACACACGAGAAAGTAAACTTGTCAAGGAAAACTTGTTAACTGTACACACGAGAAAGTAAACTTGTCAAGGAAACTTGTTAACTGTACACACGAGAAAGTAAAGTTGTCAAAGAAAGCTTGCTCGTCTTTTCGGCGCTTAATTAGCGTTAATTCCAGTCTGGTATCGAAGGCGGGCGCCTTTCAAGTTCACTTGCCTACTTACCTATTTTAAAAAAAAACTTGCCACAGGCAATATAAAAAGTAGTCTTCTTTACTAATAACTGCGACACATCCTTTTAATGTTGTAGAGTTTAATTTACACGAACTCGAGGCTTCTTTATCTTATCACAATTTTTCACTTGACATACAAAATTTTCTACTTTATTTAATTATGGTCACATGTATGTTTTGAAAACAGACATTGTGGAATCTACGCTTGGCTCAGTCTCTACTAAAATATTTTTAACTACATTTAACTGGTCATTGTTTTGGATATTAGGTGGGATAAAAAAGTCATATATGAACGTAGAAATTATTTGTCCCATTCAGGTTCCGAGAAACCACGGGCTCGTGACGCCGGACTACGTAGGCGTTTCCAGTATACCAGATAGCTTTCCATAGCGGCGCGAAAAAACACTTATCCGATACGGAATGTACAACTTTAAGAAGCTGAGCGAAATAACATCTCTCCGTTGCAATAATTCCTCTGAAAATAGCGTTCCTAAAAGGTACGGATGGGTGTTTTTTCACGTCGCTACGGGATGCTATCCCGTACAATGTAAACGTTAGACAAGCTTGTATCCCAAAGGTAGAAAATTGTCTTAAAAAATAAGGGACATTGATTTCCTTGTGTCGGAACTGTCTTATGATACGGCAATGACCATAGCAAACTATCTATAGCTCTTCTATCATGCAGTATCGCTGTCTATAAGTTGTATAAACATATTTCTGTTATATTTCCTAATGTGTCCATGTATCGTATTCAAACATTCCTGAGAGAGTTGAGCTGTTTTAGACTGTCCTGTACACCCCATCGCTGTTATGAAAGCATCGAGGCTGGTCGTGCCAACAGGCATGCCTGTCAGGCGGTCGTCACTAGGAATGCCATTTAGACCTTTTCGTTTCACGTTTGTAAACCAATGTGCCATGATACTTCGGAGTCCCGTGTTTCCACTGTTGTCTACTACCAAAAGACCTAGGGTTTCATATTTGTAGTTAGTTTTGTGGACAGGGCCGTTGCGAAGGGATATGGATTGGGGGGGGTGTCGAAGGTCAAATTGCCGAGTGACGCTAGTTGAATTTGCCGAGTTTTTCAAAAGTTTGTAAAGGTTAGATATAGGTAATGAGAA